CCAATGAAAAAGGACAAACAGCTACAGAAAGACACTGGACTACAGAAAATACTGTTGAAATCAGCCTGTATACTTCAAAGATGTACTACCCTCTGTATGGAAACCAGGACATGCGTTACATTGGGGTAGGGTTTTGCATTGGTTTCCACAGGAGAAGAAAAACTTTGGATACCATCTAAGTTGATCAAGATTTGACTTGAAAAGAAAAAAACATCTCGAAGATGACAAATGACAGGTATTCTACTGAGGTATATCTTATAAACTAAATAGAAACCTCCTAAAGGAAAGGGAAGTGTTTTGCTTTTATCTTCACAGGAAAACTCATCTTCAAAAGGCAAAGGACACAATATGGGTAGACACTTAAGAATAGAAGGTAGCTATAAACACCAAATAAAAGGAATGTGCCGTATGGTAAACTTTACAGCTGTCTCTCAAAATGTGTACATACACAAGCAAACATTTCTCTGCTAACTGTTTATGTTTGAGTCCCACACAGCAAATGAAGACCTGCCTGACAGCAATCCCTGGACACCCTGGAAAGAAAATGGGCCACAGCTCCTTGACTGCACTGGATCCAACTTGCTCCATTTCAACTGACACTCCGGCCAGAGGTTCGGGTACTGACTTCAATCAAGTTGAGGATTTCAAGCGAGATCTTCAATCAAGTGAATCCATCTAACATGGACTGGATACAATTCATTCAAGAATTTCACTATACTAACATTTTCTTCCTACAGGACCCCACAAGGCTATCATTGTCCCATTTCAACAGGAAGTAACTCGGAGGATGCTATGCCCCCTTTCCCATTGTTGTCACTTAGGATAGTGTATATACCTCGTTAGGGATAGCTTCCTATTGTTTTTGGTTGGGATTGGAAGGAGGTGTTCAGGCTTGGACACCTCTCTCAGATGACTTTAGGGTTTAGTTAACATAGATAGTTAGAATGTGACATAAGCAGACTGTTGTATCTTCTTATATTTTACCTTTATGATTGTTAATTTTGTATACTTTATACTGTTAAGTTTTAATCCTCTTTTAGACTAAAAGGGGAATTGTAGGGGAAGCTGTAGCCACGCCTTCTTAGGGGCTGGCTACAGGTGTGCCTGACCAGGCTTGTGAGGGCGTGGTCAGAGTGAGCAGTGGGACTGCGTTTTCGGTTTCGGTTTCTCTTTGGTACTTTCGGTACAGGCTGCTGACCCACCGGCTGGCTGGGCCGCTCTATACGTGAGGCTTTTCCCTATTAAATTCCCTCTTATTCCTACCTGACTCCACTATATTCCTCGCCTCCCAAGTGCTGGGATTAAAGGTGAGCACCACTACCGCCCAACCCTGAGAGTTTTCACAAGTGTATTGTGCAACCATAGTTTGCAGTCAAGTCTCACACTGTTCTTTGCAAGGAATGGAACTGGTAGAGAACACTTTCACCGAGTGGGAAAGGTGTACTACAGAACAGTATTTAATGCATGCAAAGAACTGTAGATTCCAAATCTTCCTAACAAACCTGTTTTGAATTTTGTACAATTGAAGGCCATGCAAACCAAGCCATAGCAGTACTTGAAGGTGTTCAGAATGTTTGATTCTTCTGTCAGCCACCTGGGATTCAACATGGGATCTTCACAGTACTCAGCTGAAATGGGGTTCATGTAGACACTAGCCAGAGGTATGGAAAGTACTGGTATGCTTTTCAGGTAACCAATAAATCAGTTAGGGCTGAAGGGTCTTCTGAAACCTGTGGGGCAGAATGAGGAAAGGGGGGCAGAGACTAGCCCTGGGTCTGGGATCAGCCTCCATCTCCTTAGTTTTACCCAAAGCACAAGAGTTGTACAGGAATCTTGAACAAGCTATTTCTCTAACTTTGAAGACAGAGTATCCCAAGTCTCCATGTTTTCTTCCTACATGCTTATAAATACAACCTCCCTACAGCTCTACGTGGCCAAAATTTATAGCACATTTAAAATCCTAGATAAGTGAACCTCTCTTCATGTTTTCTGTGAAGGGCCTAAGATGGAGAGAAACAAAGAATAAGTGACCCCTAGCAGTACCTTCTCCAGAAAACAATCAGAGAAGACAATCCTAGGTATTATAGGAAGTCTGCAAATTCCTTTATTATTCTTTTTCAGTAATATAAAATATATTTGCAAACACATCCAAATCATTTCAATCAGGAATTCAGGAATTTCATTTAAAAACTAATCACAGAGTTTTAAACTAATTATCCAATTTGCAAACAAACACCCTCTACTTCTGACATTGATTCCAATACAATTTCCTTCAGTTATCTTGACTCAAAATTGGAGTAAGGTATGTCAACTAGACCAGCACCTCAAGGGTGGCAAAGACATATTGGCTCGTTTCCTTTCCCTGTCAGCCTTGCCAAAGCCAAGTTAGATAACTTGAAGGGAAGAAAGGGGCCTAGCTTCAGGGTCTATCTCCATAGCCCCATATATTCAGTTTTTTTAAGGGGCTCTGTCTAGAATGAGAAACAAGGAAGTGACATTTGACCAAAGGATCCCAGCATAATGAACCTTTAAAAAATGAAAAAGATGGTCCTGGTCCCCAGCACCAGTTCTGAACTTCTCCCAGGCAACAGAGGCCAGCAGGATTGAAATAGCCTACAGGTAGAGCTGGGGCCCAGTCAAGAGTCCACTTCACATGTGGTGGGGCTCCCCTGACCATGCTTCGTCACCCAAGCCAGCTGCTGGGTACCCAGCCAGACCAGCAGAAGTGAGATACTACAGCTTCCCTGCCACAAGTTGTGGGCACTCCTTGAAGATAAGAGGGCAACTGAAAAGCCATTTTGTTTATGCTTTTTCAGTTTCTCCCATTCTCCCATGTGAATTATCAAGGAGACACTGACCTCTGACCTCAGGAAGTGATAGGCAGAGTTGATTATGTTCTTTAGTGCTGGGTGGATTTTTGTTTCTTCTCTTTAATTTTTTTTTTTTTTTTTTTTTTTTTTTTTTTTTTTTTTTAGTTTTTGAGTGGGGCCACAGCCTCATATAGTTGAGGACAGCCTTGGAGTAGGTACTTCACAAACCAGTCTCCCAAATGTTGGAAGAGCAGGTGCCCACATACCCAGCTCAGAAGTGATCTTAACATTTTGTCAACATGTGGTCTCCCTCTTAGCCAGGCTACCCCAGGAGCCAGAGGCACATGGGGCCAGTGTGCTGATTTCAGTTGCATCTGGTCTCGGATGACCTTGCTTGTGACTGCAGTCAAGAGTGGAAATTAGCCACTGCTAATAGACCAATATAATAGGCGGATTCCTCCTTGATGGTGATTTAGTGAAAACTATCTGTGAGGTATGTTTTGTGTGTGGAAAAAGGTGGAGAGAAATAATGAAGAAAATAAAAAAAACAGTCAAAAGCAGTGTACCTTATATTGGTTTCTTCAAACCGAATTAATGTCTGTGCTGAGAAGTGGGCAGGAGAGATACCTCTGAGACGTCCTCAGGCACTCCCTCTGGTGCTAGCTTTGAGATCTCACACACAAAAACTCTCCTTTCAAAAGGAGCTCTCTCCCAGCATATGGACAAATAAGCAGAAAGAGGATCCAAATAAGCACATGAGATCCTCAGACTCACCTTAAGGAAGCAACTCCAATGTCACAGACTAGAGGAAGCAAAGAAGCAACAGCACCAAGCAGTGGACAAGACGTCTGGTGCCTGCACCAGTTCTCTCAGAGCTGGCTGTGTAGGACAGGGCAGGCCTCTGCCACCGCTCAGCTGCCTTAGGAGAGGAGAGGCAGAGGCACAACAGGGAGGCCCAGCCTCCCAGACGTCAAAGCTTGGCTCTGGTTTACCAAGCAAACTCCAAGTGTACAAAGCATATACAGTGCTTCTTTCTTGTTGTAATGCAGTTCTCAGAAGAACTAAAGTTCTGAGGTGAAAAGAACTGTAAATCACACCATAGGATGTGTGAGGATTACCTGGGTGCAGGTATTTTCCTAGAGGAGGGAGGTGTGGCCCATCTCCATCACTGCTTCTCTTTAGGAACATTGTGAAATGTGCTCAACACAATCCGAAAACCTGTCCCCATGAAGCATGAACTATTTCCATGGAGTAGGATGTGTCCAGTTACACAGGCCCAACCTTGTGTTGTGTGCCATGTGCAAACTAGAGCATCTTCCTGAGTGATTTGGTGAGGGTATGGCAATGGGAAAGAGCACTTGGAAAACACATGGACTTGATGGGGAGTGCACACTGCTGTGGTTGAAACAAAGGTACCCTTCTCACACACAGGAACTTGACCTCCTGTCCCTCCTCTTCCTGAGCTCCAGCTCTGGGGATCCCCAGAAGTACCCTACAGACACCTCCCTGGACGACCCTGGCCCTGCATCCCACTGTGTCTCTGACTAGAAATGGTGCTGGTGGAGGGCTGCAGGTGAGGGTCCTTTCTCCAGCCTCTTGACATGGCAGGAGTGACAGAACAGGTGGTCCTCCAGTGGGTAGCAGCGGTGACCGTCCTCATCATTGAGCTCTAGACCACAGTCCTGCAAGGAGGCAAGAGTGTCCCATGAAAACAAAACAGACTGCAGGAGTAACATGAAACCACAGTTCACCCACTCAGCAAAGGGTGCGTCAGGTTTCTCTATATAGTCCTGGCCATCCCGGAACTTGCTCTGTAGACCAAGCTGGTCTGTAGACCAAGCTGGTCTTGACCTCATGAGATTTGCCTACCACCACTGCTGGGCAAGATACATGTATTTTTAATGGTCAATCAGGGTCATGAATGTGCAGAGAAGATTGTTAAGTCTTCATTCTCTTCTCCAGACTCATGATGTACCACCAGCCATGAGTTCCACCTACTGCTTCAGTGCCAGCAGTGAAACCCATCTACATGTTACCAATACTCCCTGCTCTCCCTACCTCCAAGACCACAAATGAATCTAGTCTACTTCTAAGGATGGATTCATTCAGTATGGCTGAAAGACTGGTGCAGAGTGACCTCTGGCTTTTCTTGCAGTCATGAGGCACTTTTGGTTCCTTCAATGTAGGATATCACACATGGCAGAGAAGAGCAGCCTGCCCCATACACAGTCTTTTATACCAGGTTTCCCTATGCTTTCCAGGGCTGAGTTCAAACAGAAGCTTCTGACAGACAGAACAATCTGCACCCAAGAGGGAAGAACACCTCCTCCCCCACCCTCATTATACAGCAAAGTGACAGTCTGGCTCTGAGCCCCACAACACATAATCCTCTGAGTTCTGTAGCTTCGGGGATAGCATCTGCAAGCTTCAGAACTTTGTAGTTTTGAATCTGCAGAACATGACAAAGATCTTTGCCCCAAACATCTGTTATTACCCCCATACAATCAATTCTTGGGAGACAGACCTTACAGAGAATTTGGTAATCACCCTAGTTCCCATAACCCAGGAGGCCTTTTTAAGGTAGGTTTGGGGGCTGGACAGGGAGGGGCCCACCTCACAATGGTAGCACTCCACATGGTAGTCTCTGTCCATGGACACAACACGGATGGTCTCATCTGAGCCCTAGGATGAAAGTAAAGCGAGACATGCCAAGAGGCCAGTTAGAAGTCCACGGAATGCCACCGGCAATGGGGTAGGGTGGGAGGAGATTGTGGGGTAACAGTAGGAGACCTTGGGGGAGGGATATAAATCAAGAGTGAATACTAAACACTTGTAGGAAAAAGACCAGAGTCAATAGTGTGAGGGTAGTTAGGGCAGTGTGATCTGGGATGTCAGAGACAATACTGAAAGAAACACCAATGGCGACATTTCTCTTTATTTTTTTGCATGTGTATGTATGGATGACTGCATGTACATAGGCACACACACACACGTGTGTGCACATGCATGTAAAAGCAGAGGTTTATGTTTGGTGTCTTCCTCCTTCACTATTTTATTAACTGAGGCAGGGTTTCAGGGGTATTTATTTTTAGAAGATGAATAAAAGACAAGCTTTCTGTCACTCCAATCTCTGACAGTTTGGTCTGGCTCTTGGGACAAACGGGCACAAGAAGGACGTGGGGCTAGGAAGCTAGTGCAGACACTGGAAGATTCTGTTGAGAGGATAAGAACAGGTTACAGAGCTTCTGAGTGACTCAAGGGAGACAGCCCAGTCTTTAGAAGATCTATGAGTACATCTAGAAAGCACCTTACCTCTGGTGGAAGGATGGGAAGCCCACAGGCTGCACACTTTGGGGCCAGCACCCTGCGGGAGAAACAAAGGGAACATGGTGCACACTGTGTTGTTACCAGACTACGAATGGCAACCGGGGCCTGCCAGGAGCCCACCACAGCCAGCACTCAGGGTTTTGTGGATCTGGGCTCACTTTTGAAATATGAACATTATTCCCAGCTTCTCCAGGGACATCTGGCTACTTCCTGCTCCCCTGAGAATAAAGATGAGGCTGACCATTTGCTCCCTTCACAGCTAGCTGGGATGGCCCAACAAGCAGAGAGTGGTAGGTGCTAAGCCTGATTTGGTGCCTGGTGAAACCATGTAAAGCTGGAGTCACAGGCTTGTTAGATTCCAGTTTTGTGTTCTGCTTTATCACCAAACAAACATTTAAAGAGTTTCTAGATACTTCCCATTCTGCTGAGCTCAGTGGAGCCTGCATGAGGTTGCCATCCACTCCCTCTCTCCTTACTTGTGGTAATCTCGGACACAGTAGATCTTGTTCTCTGAGTCCACGGTGAAAGGCACCCCATCCAGACATTCATTACAGACGACACAGCGGAAACAGCCAGGGTGATAGGACTTCCCTAGGGCCTGTAGGATCTGAGGACACAAAGGAAAACAGAGATGAAAGGAAGGACAGTGAAAAAAGAGGAACACACAGGTGTGGGGGGGCCCATGCACAGCTGCACATGCCACAGGCTCCACCTAGCCCCGTTTCATCTGAACGAAGGTCAAGAGAAGGCTAGTCTGCTCAGACATGCGGACAGGAGGGGATCACACAGGGACCTATGCAAACTCTTAGTTGCTGGCTGGGAGAAATAGAGACTTCTGTCTGATCCTTCTCTCATAGCAGAAAATGTTCTTGCCTAAAAAGCAAAGCTAGGTACCAGAACCTCTGGGTAAACCAGTTAAAAGAATCTACGCCCAATATAGAAAGCAGCAAATGCATAGAGAAAAAAAAATGAAAGGAAATTCCAGATGGAAAACCTCCTCACATTGACTCCTGGAACCCCTTCCATGCCGCTTTGGTTTTATAGTTCGACAATCTAGAAGCCCTGATCAATCCAAATACAAGTGTAACAGACTATATGGTTGTCCTTGTTTTTAAAACAAAATGAAGGGAAAGCCCCAAAGGCCTCCTTCCTCTCAGTATCATTTGATTTGGATGTGATACCTTGAACTGGTAGAGCCTTTCCAAAACAAAAAAGCTAAGACACAGAGGGAGGAGAGGACAGCCAACAGAGGGATGAGAAGCTGAGAAGAGACAAGAGGAGGAGGGGAAGGGAGGGAGGAAAAGGAGGAGGGAGGGGGGAGGACAGGACAGGACAGGGGAAGGGAAAGAAGAGAGGGAGTTGAGGGGAGCGGAAAGGATGGGAGAGAAGGTATTGAGGGGAAAGGAGAAGAAAGGAAAGGAGGGTAGGAAATCTGAGGGAAAGGGGAGGGGAGAGGGAGAATGGGAGTGAGGAGAGGCTTTGAGAGAGAGGGGAGAATAGAAGAAAGGAAAAGGGGGAAAGGAAAAGGAGAAACATTGGAAAGCACAACCTTGGACAAGGATGTAAGCTCTTAGTTACTGCTTCAGGACCCTGCCTGCCTGCTGCCTGTCTTCTGTCTGCCTGCCTGCCCGGCACCATAATGCTCCTTGCCAAGATGATCATGAACTCATCTTCTGGAACTGTAAGGCTCTAGCAAACTATTTCTCCTATAAATTGGCTTGGTCATGGTGCCTTTTCACAACAATAAAAAAGTAATTAAGATGCTCAGGGAGACTTTGCCTAGTAGCAAGGCCACAGCTGTCTAAGGCTAAGCTCTGGTGTGTTCAAGCCCTAGATGGCAACAGGTACTCCTCATGAATAGGGAAGGTTCTGTGCACTGTTTCTTTATAAAGGTTATTATAGAACCAGGAAGAAAGCACCTCACATCAAAGACATGCACAAGGGCTGAGGATATAGCTTAGCTGGTAGAGTGCTTGCCTAGCATACATGAGGCCCAGGGTTCAATACCCAGCACCAGGCCAGATACTGTAGAACATTCCTTTAATCCCAGCACTCAGGAACCTGATGCAGGTGGAGCTCTGAGTTTGAGACCAGCCTGGTCTATATGTTGAGGCCAAGACTACATAGTGATACCCTGTTTCAAAAAATCAAAAGAACACACACAGAGACAAAACCTAGCACCACATATAATCAATGTGGTGATGGTGATGGCATGCCTGTAATCCTGCCATTCAGAGGCAGAGGCAGAAAAACTAGAACTTTAAGGTTCTAGCCATTTAGCAAGTCTGAGACCATCTCAAAACAAAGCAAAGAAAATAAAGGAAAAAACAAAAACCACATGCACAAGAGTGCTCTGAAATGACAGAATTTTTGTGTGCAAGTAGCTCAAAAATGGCAAACACCCAAGTTCATATGTCATACATAAAATCTACTTAGAAATAAAAGCAAAGAAATTACTCATATAGGGAACAATGTGTATGAATCCCGTGGAGACAGTTTTGCTTTGTTGTGATTTTTGAGGAAGGTTTCTCTCTGTAGCCTTGGCCATCTGGAAATCACTCTGTTGTTCAGGCTGGCCTCAAATTCAGAGACTCACTTCCTTCTGCCTCCCAAGGACTGGGATTAAAAATATGGTGTTTATCACCACTGCCTAGTTCATGACATATTTTTAAGTGAGGAAAGGCATATACTAGAGTGGCTCTAAAATTCAACTTGTGTGATGCTCTGAAACCAGCAAACACATATGACATTGGATCCTGGAACAGCTGTGGCCTCTGTGGATAAGGGTTTTACGTGGGAAGAAGCAATGGGTATTTTATGGTATTCAGACAATGTCTTGAAAATTAATTTGGGATAAGGTTACATGGGTAGGCATATATGTAAAACGTCACTCATCAGTACATTTAATATTTGTGCCTTTTGGGCTGGAGAGATGGCCCAGATGTTAAGAGAACTGGCTGCTCTTCCAGAGGTCCTAAATTCAATTCCCAGCAACCACATGGCGGCTCACAACCATCTATAATGAGATCTGCTGCCCTCTTCTGGTGTGCAGGTATATATGCAGGCAGAACACTGTATATGTAATAAAATAAATACATTTTGAAAAAAAGGAAAAAAAAAGATTTGTGCTTCTTATTCTGAGTTATTTATTCGTCTTCCTTTTTTTTTTTGTTTTTTTGTTTTTTGAGACAGGGTTTCTCTGTGTAGCTTTGGAGTCTATCTATCGTGGCACTTGCTCTGTAGACCAGGCTGGCCTGGAACTCACAGAGATCTACCTGACCCTGTCTCCCGAATGCTGGGATTAAAGGTGTGTGCCACCAATGCCAGGCCTCTGAGTTATTTCTTAATAAAAAGGTGAAAGAAAAAAATTGACAGTGATTGGCAGTTCCCTTCACCAAAATGAAATTAAGTGAATAAACACAGAATGGAATAAATGTTTACAGCTAAAATTATATGACAATCATTTGCTATGACCAGCATAAAAAAAATACTTTTTTTTTTCTTTTTTTTTTGCTACCACTGGGAATGAACTCAGAGCCTGGGGCATGCTTGACAAGCACAGTGCTACTTCCCATCCAGGAAAAAAAAAAAAAAAGCCATCTATAAGATGGACACTCCCCAGAGGAATCCTCTACACAGAAACTCTTTGGATTAACTTTTCCTGCCCCTTCAGAAGCTCTTTAAGTGGAGATGAGCACAGCAAATGAAACAAAACTCATCTAACGGGGAGTGGCTCCTGGGAAATGATACCTACCCACCAGTGTTCTTAAGACACAAGTCAAGGACCCAGGGAGTGACTTAAACCAGATGTTGGCCTCTAAGCAACCAGCACAGATGACCGGTTTTTGGTTTTGCTTTTCTCCCAGAGCATGCGCATGTAGGCAAGCACTCTGACACTGAGTTAGACCCCAGCTCCTAAATTCTTAAAGGCCAGTTTCCAATGTAAACAATCTGTTGACCTCACTACCTAATTATTCTTATACTTGAAGCAAAGACTGAGACCCACATGATCCAGTGCCTAAGCACAGAATGGGATATGAAAACCTGGGCCCTGTCAATCTGAATGCCAAAAGCTTTCTTGTGCCGGAAGGAAAAAACACGTTCATTTGACTATACCCAATTCCCAGGTGGCTGCTTTCTGCAAATAAAACGGGCTGCTCCTAGCACCTCGCTGGGAAAGCCAAGGATCACAGAGAAACCAGAGGGAGGCCAGGGTGAGCAGAATCACTCCAGTGTGCATGATTAAAATTGCATTGGTGCAAGCCAACAACAGCTATTGTTCTATTAGAGAAGAAGTGGCTATGCTATACAAGGACTTCTTTAAATAAAACCAGAAGTGACCACAAGCCAGAAAGAAAACACTGTGTTCAATTATTAACTTCTTTTTAGTGTCCTTCCAAAGGGCTATGATCTTGCTGAACAATACTCACCATGTCCATGATCAGATGTCCACAAAGAAAACACCTGTCGGCAGACTGCTGAAAGCCAGAGTACTACAGGGAAGAGAAAGATGAGTCAGCCACCTCCCCACCAGCAGAGAATGATGAGGGATTTCTGAGAAACCCATAGGTCCCCTGAGAGTGTGCAGCTGAGTGTTCAGTCATGGGCAGTCCTGGGCCACCCACCTCAGCTATTGTATCTGGGCCCCATACTGTGTCAAGCTCTAGATGACAGATGAACACAGAGAGGCTTTAATCCCTCATCTCAAAGTATTCCCAATACAACATCCTGAGAATCACTAGGAAACTTGGAACAAATTAAGTTTAGGTACTTCACCTAAGATTTACCAAGCTGGGAACAGGGCTGGGGCTTGACATCTGTGTCCTAACAGGGCTCTGAAGACAGTACACAGTCTCCATCTGTCTGTCTCCCCGCCCCCTCTCTCTTTCCTCTCTCATACACACATGCATGGACATACACAGGCAGGGGTGGGGTGGGGAGGGCACATTTGTACACACATAAAGCCTTGTGGCCTGTATTCTGCTTTAGGACTTGAGTTACCCAGGCATCCACAAGGAGGGAATGGCCCTCTCCCAGTAGCACCAGGAGTACAGAGAAACAATCTCCTACCACCTGGGCCTCTCAGGTTCCTGACCTAAGCCACCTTCGCCCTCTGCAGTCTGGGTGATATACTCACCAAAAAGTCTTCCTCGCAGAATACTTTGCCGTTGACAAAATAGAAGGCTTTTCCTCTTAACTTCCTGCCTGAAGCAAAAACAGGAAAATGGGGTAAAAGGAAAAAGGTTAATACATAATGAAGACAGTTTTAAAGGAAGGGCCCCTAACTCTAGCCACACAAGAGATGCCAACTGTTGCTGACAGTTTTGTTATTAAAGGATGGTATTAGCTGGGCGCTGGACACCTATATCCTAGCATTTGAGAATCAAAGACAGGAGGAACACCACAAGTTTGAGGACGGCTTATGCTACACAGTGAGTGGTCAGCAAAGAACAGACCAAGTCCAGGAAGAAGGGTCTCCTGGCTGGTGTTGTTTAACAGAAAGACTTGAAGCCAACTTGGTGTTCCCTGTACATTCCTCCTAGGACTTGCCTTCTGCTTAGAAAAATGTCAGGGAATCCTGGTGACAGGATAGAGGAGGCACATGACAGTACCGGACACTGGCAGCAATCTCTCCTGACACACTAAGGATAGTCACCCATGACAACCTACCAGAGTGCTATAAAATGGTTAGCTATAAAAGCCACAAGGGAAGGATGTGTTGTTTTCTCTTGATATGAATGGTGTGGTCTGGTGTATGGGACTTCAAAGCATCAGTTCTTAGACTTCCGATTCTATAAGGCAGAGACACTGATTAGAAAAACACTCTCAGCTGGACATGGTGGTGCACGCCTTTAGTCCCAGCACTCAGGAGGCAAAGGCAAGTGGATCTGAGTTCGAGGCCAGCCTGGTCTACAGATTGAGTTCCAGGACATCCAGGACTGTTACACAGAGCAACTCTGTCTTGAAAAACAAAACAAACAAACAAACAAAAAAAAAAGAAGGAAGAAAGAGAAAAACATCCTCAACCAGCATCTTTTGTTACAAATGAGTGAAGAACCAGGACAAATGATGGAGTGAGTTCAAACACAGCACCTCCATGGGGAATGCAAATGGTGCTCTACAGTGCTAGGGGCTCCATGTACTTCTAGTGCCCAAGTGTAGACAACCCACAGGCCCCTGGAAGTCCCCAAAGTGTAATGTATGCTTGGCCCTGGATGAAATCAAGATCCTGGAGTCAAGGACCTAGCCTGACAGCAAAATCACGAAAGTCACAAAGCATGGTGGCACAGGCCTGTCCTCCCAGAACTCAGGAGAAGGAGAAGCATTGTGAGTCCAAAGGAGGAGGATGAGCAGCTGCAGCCGCAAAGAAACCTGTTACATCACCTTCACAATAATCTTGGTTATTAATAGCAACCTAATGTCTACCATATAATATAAAGATGTCAATTCCACCTGTAATCAAGAGAATATAAATTAGAACCACATTAAAATTCTATCTTTACCTCAAAAATTGGTAAAGTAATAAATCTGGCTGGGAATGGTGAAGCATACCTGTAATCCCAGCACTCAGGCGGCAGAGGCTGGAAGATCAGGAGTTCAAATTCAGCCCAAGCTACCCAGCAAAATCTTAGAAAAACAAAATCACAACAAAAGAAGAAAAATAATTGAGACAAGGTCTTACCATATAGCCCTGGCTAGTCTAGAACTCAGTTTGTAGACTAGGCTGGTCTCCAACTCACAAAGATTCTCCAGCCTCTGCCTCCTGGGTGCTGAGATTAAAGTAGTGGGACAACATACCCAGCAACAAAAGAAATTTTACCAAATCTGGTGACCACTGGAGAAGTGTCCAAGGAAGTAGTCACCCTGAGAGTCATCTGTCAGGAACCAAAAGTCCTGAAATCCATGTGCACAAGGACACAATATGCTCTACAGATAAAAGAGAAGCATTTTCAGTGCCCTGGCAATGGAAGAAGGAATAAACCAAAGAAGAACCTAGAATTGTATTCAATGGATGAGACACTAAACATGCATCACCTGTCCTTCCATCAAGTCACACACTGATCACTAAGTCCTGGTCCAATCTTATCTATGGAGCACCCGTATTTCCCTGATTTGTGCTTAGACTTCCCAGAGGATGAACCAGTTACACACGGAACCAAAGGTCATAGGGACTGTGGTTGTAGGTGGAGCACTAGAGGGGGCAAGGGTGCCACCAGGAAACAGGACTTCATCTCAAACACTGACTCTGCCTCCAGGAGTAGGGGCTAGAAGTGCTAAGGAACCTGAGCTAGAAACCAATACTTTGTTTTAATACTAACTCCAGTTCCAGGGACTCCTTGTGCACCAGGCATGAAGGTGGTGCACATACTTACACACATGTATGCAGAACACCCATACACATTAAAAAAAATCTTAATAGAGGAGAGAACAACTCTATTCTAAAACCACAAAAGTTCCAGGGACTCCTTGTGCACCAGGCATGAAGGTGGTGCACATACTTACACACATGTATGCAAAACACCCATACTAAAAAAAAATCTTAATAGAGGAGAGAACAGCTCTATTCTAAAACCACAAAAGACCATTAATATGCAAAAGTATTGCATTTCCTAGCATGCAAACAAACACGAAAGGGGTGGGGGTATAACTTCACCAAGGGCTGTGAAGTGTTCATGATCCCTGTCACTGCATATTTTCCTAAGCTACTGAATAAGTGTAAAATGACAAACCCTTCCTGGAAAGGAAACTTTAAGATGTTTATCTTAACTTATGAGGCTGAGACTTGGCTTTGGCACAAAATAAAAAAAATGTAGATAAATATTTACTCAAAGGAAGGATTACGTAAAACAAAGAACATCTAACTGATGAACTGTTATGTAGCCTTTGAAAATACCACATGAATAGTATTTTAATGGGACAGAAAATGTTTGTGCTATAAAAAGATAGAGTCAGAATGCGTTAGTGAGTGAAGAAAGCAAGCTGGACATGTGAATTCATAGCAGGGAGAAGGGGAACAGTGGCCAGCGGTGGTGGAAATGTAACATGGAAATGCTACTTTATATACTTCTAAAATGCTTGACAAATGGTATTACAAATTTTATTTTTTCACTTTGTACATTCTTTGTTTTGCTTTTTAGAATTATGTACAACAGAAAATACTTATTAATTTTTAAAAGGCCATGTTACTAGTTTTTTTTTTTTTTAAAAAAAAAAACCATCGTATTATGACGTAAAAAGAAAAAGAAGAGTAAGATCTAAACGCCCCAGCCCCGCGAAGAAGACAGTCCCCAGCCCCGTGTAGAAGACACAGTCCCCAGCCCCGTGAAGAAGACACAGTCCCCAGCCCCATGAAGAAGACACAGTCCCCAGCCCCATGAAGACAGTCCCTGTGAAGAAGAAGGTCCCCAGCCCCGAGAAGAAGACGGTCCCCAGCCCCGTGAAGAAGAAGACAGTCCCCAGCCCCGAGAAGAAGACAGTCCCCAGCCCCGAGAAGACAGTCTCCAGCCCCGAGAAGACAGTCTCCAGCCCCGAGAAGACAGTCTCCTGCCCCGAGAAGACAGTCTCCAGCCCCGAGAAGACAGTCTCCTGCCCCGAGAAGACAGTCTCCTGCCCCGAGAAGACAGTCTACAGACCCGAGAAGACAGTCTCCTGCCCCGAGAAGACAGTCTACAGACCCGAGAAGGCAGTCTCCAGCCCCAAGAAGACAGTCTCCTGCCCCGAGAAGACAGTCTACAGACCCGAGAAGACAGTCTCCAGCCCCAAGAAGACAGTCTCCTGCCCCGAGAAGACAGTCTACAGACCCGAGAAGACAGTCTCCAGCCCCAAGAAGACAGTCTCCTGCCCCGAGAAGACAGTCTACAGACCCGAGAAGACAGTCTCCTGCCCCGAGAAGACAGTCTACAGACCCCCAGAAGACAGCCTCCAGCCCCAAGAAGCCAGTCTCCTGCCCCGAGAAGACAGTCTACAGCCCCGAGAAGAAGAAGACAGTCCCCAGCCCCGAGAAGACAGTCTCCAGCCCCAAGAAGACAGTCTCCTGCCCCGAGAAGACAGTCCCCAGCCCCGAGAAGAAGAAGACGGTCCCCAGCCCCGTGAAGAAGGCAGTCCACAGCCCCGTGAAGAAGAAGACGGTCCACAGCCCCGTGAAGAAGAAGACGGTCCACAGCCCCGTGAAGAAGAAGACGGTCCACAGCCCCGTGAAGAAGAAGACGGTCCCCAGACCCGTGAAGAAGAAGACGGTCCCCAGACCCGTGAAGAAGAAGACGGTCCCCAGCCCCGTGAAGAAGAAGACAGTCCCCAGCCCCGAGAAGAAGACAGTCCCCAGCCCCGAGAACACAGACACAACACCAGAGAA